TACAGTAAACTCCAAGTGTATATACAGGGAGAAATGGGGGTACACCTCTGTGTACATACCCGCTGCCAAATGGGTATGCAGCATACAGTAATAATAATGGAACTGGTTTACTCACACGTGTTAAAAGTGAATTAATCTGTAAACGAATACAAAATCACAGGTTCAACTGTATACATTATTAAACATTTGAATTGCAAACAGAAATAGTAATTTTGTTACTGTATGATATATATATATATATATATATATATATATATATATATATATATATATATATATATATATATATATATATATATATATATATATATATATATATATATATATGAACTCTGCGATGTGCATAAAGCAGACTTTGTAAAGGTTAACAAAGCCTTTAGGAAACTCAGAAGTGGTCTGTATGGGTAACTATATTTCTCATTACAGTCAATTTATTTATGTTTGGAACCATCTTGAAGCACCTCACTGGTCACGACATTACCGTATATAGTACGGAGAAACTAACACATTGAGAGGTAGACTAAATTATGTACTTGAATATTGTAGCGAGCAACGTTAGTGTTAGCACCATCTCAGAATTTGTTAGCAAGCATTATGCAATAGACAGTGAATACGTTGTTGCGAATATTTAACCGAATTCTCAGTCTAATAAAAATAAATAATATCCCAGATAATGTTAAACTGCACCTTAAGGCTGACATCCACAGATGGAACACTGGATATTCACCCGTGTCAGTGATGTAGCATGTTGTAGCCTCCTGAGAAATGGGCGAGTTGAAATATGTAGTCTATACCATTTGTCTTATATATGATCTACAGTCTTGAGTGGCGGCTAATATGAACGCCTCTGCTCTCTGCCATTGTCTGCTGGACTCGCGCTCCATGGTTCATTTATTTGTAAATATGTAGCAAGAATCCGCTACTCCACTCACCGGTGGAGTGGTATTAGTGGAGTGTCTGTGTTCGCCAGTGGAGTGAGCCCTCGTAACCCAGGTTCGATGGGGTCATTGTGTGTGTGTATTCACCTAGCTGTGTTTGCGGGGGTTGAGCTTTGCTCTTTCGGCCCGCCTCTCAACTGTCAATCAACTGTTTACAAACTACTTTTTTTTTTTTTTTTCCACACCACACACACACACACACACACCCCAGGAAGCAGCCCGTGACAGCTGACTAACTCCCAGGTACCTATTTACTGCTAGGTAACAAGGGCATTCAGGGTGAAAGAAACTTTGCCCATTTGTTTCTGCCTCGTGCGGGAATCGAACCCGCGCCACAGAATTACGAATCCTGCGCACTATCCACCAGGCTACGAGGCCCCTGTGTATGTGTGTGTGTGTGTGTGTGTGTGTGTGTGTGTGTGTGTGTGTGTGTGTGTGTGTGTGTGTGTGTGTGTGTGTGTGTGTTTTACTACACACAGAATACGTACTTACACATGTATCCCAATGTAAAATTCCAGCAATGGAGTAACAGTTTTTTCAATACATTGCCAGAATATAAAATATATTCCTGAGCCTATCAGCTTTCCACGCGGATGTTAAAGTATTTCATTAGTGAATAGGCTGAACACAGCGGCCTGCATAGTTGTGTTAGGTATTAAACATGAGGCAGCGGACCCGTGTTCGCGTCCGGCTGTAATTCCTCTGTAATGGGCTTTACCATGTATTATATACGTCATGTATAACCAGTTAAATGAATACGGTTCATTGAGCATGTATATGAATATGCACAGCACACTCTGTTGGTATGTTTTATATATCGAGGCAGATACCTAGATATATATTAGGTACCAGACTGATAAGAGTGTACCTCTACCAACACGTGAAGAAGAGAAGGCGTAGTAGGAGGAATAGTGAGCAAAGAAGAAGTGTAAACGGGTGCCTTGGCGCTCACAAGGAGCTTGGGAAGAAGGGAGGAAGTAGGAACAAGGTGAGGGGGATAGAATGGAGAGATGGAGGGAAGGAGGAGATGGAGGGAAAGAGGAGATGGAGGGAAAGAGGAGATGGAGGGAAAGAGGAGATGGAGGGAAAGAGGAGATGGAGGGAAAGAGAAGATGGAGGGAAAGAGAAGATGGAGGGAAAGAGAAGATGGAGGGAAAGAGTCGAATTCAAGTAGTGTCTTATGAAGGGCCACGTCCCCTCTTATTTTTTTTTTTGACAATGGACTCAACAAAAATAGTCCGTTCGAGAGGTGAGTGACAGGTCGCCTTACCTCGCTATAGGATTACTGGGTGGTGGGATTACTGGGTGACGGAATTACTGGGTGCTGGGATTACTGGGTGACAGAATTACTGGGTGCTGGGATTACTGGGTGACAGAATTACTGGGTGCTGGGATTACTGGATGCCAGAATTACTGGGTGCTGGGATTACTGGGTGCCAGAATTACTGGGTGCTGGGATTACTGGGTGCCAGAATTACTGGGTGCTGGGATTACTGGGTGCCAGAATTACTGGGTGCTGGGATTACTGGGTGCCAGAATTACTGGGTGCTGGGATTACTAGGTCGTACGATTGATGGGTGGCGGGATTATTTGGAAATATAATTACTGGGTGGTGGGATTAATGGATGGTGGGATTACTTAGAGACAGAATTACTGGGTGGTGGGGTTACTTGATGGCGAAGTTACTGGGTGGTAGGATTTATGTATGGCGGGATATCTGGGTGTAATTGAAACTTTCAAAAGGGGGAAAGGCATTGAAACTTTCTAAGAGTAAAAGTGATTGAAACTTTCTAAGAGTATAAATGAATGAAACTTTATAAATGTGAAAGGAACTGAAGCTTCCTAACAGTGAAATGTATTGAAACTTTCCAAAGGCGACGTGTTAAACCTTGCTAAAGGGTAAAAGAGATGAAACTTACTGAAGGTGAAAGCGATTTAATATTGCTAAAAGTTAAAAGAACTGAAACTGTTTAAGTGTGAAAGGAATTGAATCTTACAATAAGTAAAATAGATTTAAACTTCCTAAATATGAAAGTGATCTAGTCTTTCTAAAGCGAAAGAAATTGAAATTGAAAGAGATTGAAACTCACTCAAAATGAAAGAGATTGAAACTCACTCAAAATGAAAGAGATTGAAACTCACTCAAAATGAAAGAGATTGAAACTTACTCAAAATGAATAGGGGAGTTAAACTTACCAAAGAGTAAACACACACACGCATCATTCACATTTCATTCCAATTAAACTCTGATACATTCATATGGGCAAACTGTGTAGGGGGAATAATTTCCATGCAATATAGTGTAATATGAATGTCCCCTTTTTATTAGAGAGGAAAACATTTGTAAATATCTGTGGTGGGAGGGAGGAGAGTACATGTTAAATATTAAGAGAGTGTTTGGGACTCTCTTTGTCAATATCTCTAGTTCAGGTCAACACGAGGGATATTCATGTAAGGTTTGTGTAAGTTTGGGATTATTTTTGAGAGTACTATCGGTACTATCCTGTTTAGATAGTACCGTATTGTAACTATATGCAACTTTGTAACTGTGTAACTAAGAGTTTCTTTCACCCTATGCCCCTGTTACCTAGCAGTAAATAGGTACCTGGGTGTTAGTCAGCTGTCACGGGCTGCTTCCTGGGGGTGGAGGCCTGGTCGAGGACCGGGCCGCAGGGACACTAAAAAAAAAAGCCCCGAAATCATCTCAAGATAATCTCAAGAAGATGTGTACCATAGTACTAATATTGACGTACTAAGCAGTTAGGTTGTAGAATTTGGTGTTGTTTACTGTATAGAGTCAGGAAAAATGAAGTTAAAAATAAACTTATGTATTTCTAGGCTTAGTATAGCACATATATGTACTATATTAGGCTATACACCATAACACACACACGCTACACAACATAACCCACACGCCACACACAACATAACCCACACACACCATAACCCACACGCCACACACACCATAACCCACACACCACAACACACACGCCACACAACACACACGCCACACAACACACACGCCACACACCATAACACACACGCCACACAACACACACGCCACACAACACAACACACACGCCACACACCATAACCCACACACCACAACACACACGCTACAACACACACACCACAACACACACGCCACACAACACACACTCCACACACCACAACACACGCCACACAACACACACACCACAACACACACACCACAACACACACGCCACACAACACAACACACACACCACAACACACACACCACAACACACACGCCACACAACACAACACACACGCCACACACCACAACACACACACCACAACACACACGCCACACAACACAACACACACGCCACACACCACAACACACACACCACAACACACACGCCACACAACACAACACACACGCCACACACCACAACACACACACCACAACACACACGCCACACAACACAACACACACGCCACACACCACAACACACACAACACAACACACACGCCACAACACACACGCCACAACACACACGCCACACAACACACACACGCTACAACACACACGCCACAACACACCATCTGGCTCGTAAATAACTCGAGCCTTAATAATTTTCAGGTTTTCTCTCGTGTTTCACCTGCTCAAACTGACTCTTTTGTTGTAGTTTTTCTTACAATATATTTTTGCGTCAACGAGGCTGTGGGAACCGGGTTCGGTTTCCCAAAAATATTCAGTAGTGTGTCCGGTTAAAACATTTAATTTCCCCTCACAGGGTCGGACTCCAGGAATTCCGACAGTCAACTTCCGGTTACGCTGTCAGAGGTAAGTGACGCGGCTTGTTCTGTCCCCCCGCACTGCTCCTGTCTGTCTGTCTCAAGCCGCCTTGTCTGTCATAATAACATAAACTGTCGTTATTATATTACAACTTAAAGTTATTTTGATTATTTCCCAAGTGTAGCAAACTTGTTCTTCACGTAGAGAAGGTAAATAAATGGTGTTTCTCTTATTTCTGGTGGAATCATGTTGGACTTGTCATTGATGCTTCACTTAGTGATGGTACTCTGATGCTTCACTCAGTGATGGTACTCTGATGCTTCACTCAGTGATGGTTGGTACTCTGATGCTTCAGTCAGTGAGGGTTGGTACTCTGATGCTTCAGTCAGTGAGGGTTGGTACTCTGATGCTTCACTCAGTGATGGTTGGTACTCTGATGCTTCAGTCAGTGAGGGTTGGTACTCTGATGCTTCAGTCAGTGAGGGTTGGTACTCTGATGCTTCACTCAGTGATGGTTGGTACTCTGATGCTTCAGTCAGTGATGGTTGGTACTCTGATGCTTCACTCAGTGATGGTTGGTACTCTGATGCTTCAGTCAGTGATGGTTGGTACTCTGATGCTTCAGTCAGTGATGGTTGGTACTCTGATGCCTCACTCAGTGACGGTTGGTACTCTGATGCTTCACTCAGTGACGGTTGGTACTCTGATGCTTCACTCAGTGATGGTTGGTACTCTGATGCTTCACTCAGTGATGGCTGGTACTCTGATGCTTCACTCAGTGATGGTTGGTACTCTGATGCTTCACTCAGTGACGGTTGATACTCTGATGCTTCACTCAGTGACGGTTGGTACTCTGATGCCTCACCCAATGACGGTTGGTACTCTGATGCCTCACCCAGTGATGGTTGGTACTCTGATGCCTCACCCAGTGATGGTTGGTACTCTGATGCCTCAGTAAAAAAGTTACATTTAACCAAACTGGTTCGTTCTCCTTCGGTATTATAATGAAAGTATATATTATTCAACCTCTTCCCACCGTCCAGTATGTAAGAGAAAAAATATGTGTATTCATTATATGTATTCATTATTCTCCTCTCTTGTGCTCGCTCCGCGCGGTGGTCAGAACCCCAAGTCAAAAAACTCCTCCCCCCAAAAAACAGAAAATAAATGTTTGCAGGAAAATGCGATCTGTGTATAGATAAAAAGGTGCACAGCATGATACCATTTGTTCTAGTCCTCAAACACGACTCTCCAACAACTGTCCCGCATTTTTTGCAATAGATTTCTCTTTAATTGCTTCAAACTTTTGCTGCAAATACTGTGCAGTGTTTCCGGGAGCCGCCGTCACTAGCTAACAAGCATCGGTTCCCATTAACTGCGTGATGTGACGTCACAGCGATGTGTAAACAGCATGTGCAGTGTATTATGGGATATTGTGTTTACACTGAGCACAGGTTAGGGTGTGTTGTGTTTAGCCTGAGCACAGATCAGGGTGTGTTGTGTTTAGCCTGAGCACAGATCAGGGTGTGTTGTGTTTAGCTTGAGCACAGGTTAGGGTGTGTTGTTTAGCCTGAGCACAGGTTAGGGTGTGTTGTGTTTACACTGAGCACAAGTCAGGGTGTGTTGTGTTTAGCCTGAGCAGAGTTCAGGCTGTGTACCGGAAGCCCTCCCGGTACTGTGCAAGATTGCTCATCTCACAACAATTTAGAGAAGGTCTGTATAGCCTCCATATGAGTGTAAAGGGCACTGGGCCTCCGCCAGTAGCGTGAGATGACGCGATGCTCTCGCAGCATCCCATCATCTCCTCCCATACGGCCTATCCGTTATAAAAGCGACGTGTTTGAAAACAAATTTAAACCAGCATAATATTGACGGTTTTTATGGCTTAAGCTTAGGTGGGTTGCTTGAGTTCGTAAGTTTTTGGTTATGATAACAATGATATCTTTGGTCAAGATAACTACAGGTTCCACAGGATTTCGTCCTCTGATTTATATAGCTATTGTTCATATTTTCTAATGACTAATATCATCTTGATCATTATTTCATCAAATATAATATGATTATACATATATATATATATATATATATATATATATATATATATATATATATATATATATATATATATATATATAAATATATATATATATGTCGTACCTAGTAGCCAGAACTCACTTCTCAGCCTACTATTCAAGGCCCGATTTGCCTAATAAGCCAAGTTTTCCTGAATTAATATATTTACTATATTTTTTTTCTTATGAAATGATAAAGCAACCCTTTTCTCTATTTATGAGGTCAATTTTTTTTATTGGAGTTAAAATTAACGTAGATATATGACCGAACCTAACCAACCCTACCTAACCTAACCTAACCTATATTTATAGGTAAGGTTAGGTTAGGTAGCCAAAAAAAGCTAGGTTAGGTTAGGTTAGGTAGGTTAGGTAGACGAAAAAAACATTAATTCATGAAAACTTGGCTTATTAGGCAAATCGGGCCTTGAATAGTAGGCTGAGAAGTGCGTTCTGGCTATTAGGTACGACATATATATATATATATATATATATATATATATATATATATATATATATATATATATATATATATATATATATATATATATATATATATATATTTGAACGCCAACTCAAACAGATGGTTAAAAAATATAATTTTTTATGTATATTAATTATTCAGATGTGATGTACCCTGTGGACAGAGAACATGTTATATTTTTAATGATCAGTTCAGTTCCTCACAGACCGTAAATGACAGGTGATGGAAGCGCCTATGTCAATTACTTTTTAATAATAACCTTATACAGAAGGGAATTAGAGATATAAATTAATATTTACAAACTATATGGCTGTCCACACTTGAACTGTAGTCTGCTTAATAGGGTAACTCCACCACCACAACCACAACCACCAGACACAACCACCACACACAACCACCACCACCACAACACAACCACCACCATCACACACAACCACCACCACCACAACAACCACCACCACCATAACAACCACCACCACCACCACACTCAACCACCACACTCAACCACCACAACAACCACCACAACAACCACCACCACCACCACACACAACCACTACCACCACAACCACAACACAACCACCCCCACATAACCACCACCACCACAACACACAACCACCACAACAACACACAACCACCACAACACACAACCACAACCACCACACACACAACAACCACCACACACACAACAACCACCACACACAACAACCACCACACACAACTACCACCACCATGTGTGGTTATTACCTTACACAAGCGAGCGCTGGAGTGTTAACGCCCAGGATAACAAATGAGTGCTTAAGTGTTGTTTACATTCATGTTTACAGTCAAGCGAGCGCTCGAGCGTTTACATTCACATTTACAATCAAGCGAGCGCTTGAGCGTTCACCCATAACAATCCCAGACTGTTACAAGGTATAACTTCAAGTAATAACCACATACATAACATCGAAGTTAATAAACAACAAAATATTTTAATACCCAACATCGGCACCTTAATTAGTTATACTACATATTATTCCTATCACCAGTATATTGTACCAACCGCAACAGGTCACTGGATCAGGCCCTGGGCCACGCGGGGCTTTTTGTCCTAAATAAAAACGTACAGACCCAAGCAACCCACCTAACCTTTCGAGGCTTATGCATAGAAAACGTCAGTGTTAGTGTGCGTGCGTGTTCATTAATTCGTCGTATTTTTAACGGATTGTTTGATACCGTAAACCAAGCGACGTGTTAGGGGAGAAGACAGGTTGATCTCGCTGTCACGACCATGATGAGGTATGTAAGATTGACGGGTGGGGACAGGCACCCGCACACACCTGCGAGACACAGTCGGTAACACCTGTGTCTTGCAGGTGTGTGGCCTCTCATACCACACCTGTTCCATGGATTCAGACTCCATACTCACGAAGATGTGTTTTTCTTATTTCCTCTCCCTCTCTCTCTCTCTCTCTCTCTCTCTCTCTCTCTCTCTCTCTCTCTCTCTCTCTCTCTCTCTCTCTCTCTCTCTCTCTCTCTCTCTCTCTCTCTCTCTCCACGTGATCACAGAAATCCATGTGTTGACACTGGGAAGATGATGCATATAAATTGCTACTAACAACAACACACACACACACACACACACACACACACACACACACACACACACACACACACACACACACACACACACACACACACACACACACACAAGGAGAGGTGAGTGGAGGAACAGGCAGCGCTTGACCTGACGTTCTCCCGAAGTGAAGCGGATATTGAGTGCAGGCAATACGAGCGACCACTACGTCAGTGTTCCATCACAGTCGACCTGAAGCACCTACAGGGAACGAGACTACAGGAGGAGGGAAACTTGACTGTGTGTATCTAAGGAATTTCCTTAGAGACGCAGTGGAAGCGTGACCTTGAAGGAACGACAAGGAATGAGATGATTAAATATAAGGCAGAAGCCCGTTTGGAAAACTCCTTGGACACTGTGTTCCTGACTCACCTCCCGATGGGTACAATCTATGCCACAATCAGCAGTCCAGCCTCTTCCTTGGTTTTAGAGGCGACACAGGGACAAGAATAGAAGCGAGAAGACATGGAATGAGTCCATAGAGCAGAGTTCGGACGCGACAGAGAGGCATTCGGGAGAGTACACTTGAGTCCGAGACGTAGTTATCCTGTAAGAATATTGAATTATGGTTCAGTCATTTAAGGAAGAAAAACACCAGCAAAGTCCCAAGCGATCGGTCTGATGAGATGGGGACGTTTCTCAGTAGGCGTCAAGGAAGTTTGCAAATACCGTAGTAGATTCCAGGATGGCCATAGGATCCGACGGTAATGATAGACGGGTGGTTGTAGACCGAACAGCAACATTAAACGGGTGTCCATAATTTTGAACTGCAACAGTAGACGGGTGGCCATGGATCGAACGGCAATATTAGACGGGTGTCAGTTGGATCGGAACGGCAACAATATTTGAGTGGTATTAGGATCGTACGGCAAGAGTTGGCGGTTGAAACTAAATAGTGACTATTAATCTGGGAGTTAGACAGCTGTTGTGGGTTGCATCCTGGGAGGTGGGGGGTGTATGTGTGTGCAATATACAGAATGTTTGGTGGAGAAAATAGGTTGGGAGTCATTCTGTAAGATAATCGACAGGTTGAAAAGCTGGGGTTCAAGAGCTAACAACTCTATCCTGCAGGCACAGATTGGTGAACACACACACACACACACCACACACACACACACACACACACACACACACACACACACACACACACACACACACACACACACACACACACACACACACACACACACACACACGCACACCAGGCTCGTCTCGCCCTCGTCAATACATTAAGTCCAGCCTCAACAAAGCCTTCAGAGCTCTCGTCCTCAGTCCAATTTAGTTTTTTTAGCCCCAAATTCTAAATTTAATATATTTCCACATGCCACTCCGATTAAAGGCTCCCAATAGCGCGTTTCCCCCCTCTCGTCCCTAGATTAAAAAATCCCAATCAAGCGAAAAAAGAAGGATTTCGTTACACACTTGGAATAGATCAAAAGAGTGTTGGATCCTAATTGAAAGTTGGCTTGAGATGGTTCTTCGTATCTCCTTTGCTCGGAGGCCTCCTTCTGGTATCTGAGAACTGCTTGTGTGTGTGTGTGTGTGTGTGTGTGTGTGTGTGTGTGTGTGTGTGTGTGTGTGTGTGTGTGTACTCACCTAAATGTGGTTATATGGTCGAGGAATAGCTCCTTAGCCTCGCCTTACCTATCTGGTTAGTTATTGCAATAACTTCATCTTTTTCGTCATATTTCCCCTTTACGCTGGTTATTGAATTCACCTTAACGATCTCATCTTCTAGTTCGTTGGGTTTGCTTGATACTCTTGCACCGTGCACAGTAGTGGTGGTGGTGCCGGCACGGGTCATCCGGCCCGCTGCTCTACACCCGAGTCATTCGGGCCATTGTCATTGTGAACATTTCCTCTCTGGTCACATGATGATTCAAGTGATTGTGGCAATGTTCCTTCACTTCGTCCTCATATCCCAGCTCCTATCCCGTTTTTCTATCCTGCCTGGCCCTGTCCTTATATCTCAGCTTTTACTCTGTCCTCATATCCCAGCTCCAATCCTGTCCTCATATTCCAGCTCCTATCCTGTTCTCATATCCCAGCTCCTATCCTGTCCTCATATCCTCCACGTGCTATATATTGTTTCTGACAGCTTTTTCTCTTCATAATTTCACTTAATTTCTTTGTTCAAAGCTATCAAGTAGACTTAATATCTTGTCCATTATCATGTTTACTCTGAATGGACTCACCATCAAGGTGAGGAGACACTGTGTACTCAGCCTTCACAGTAGGTGAGTCTTCTTCGCTCGGGGTCAAGTCTTGACGCGTATCTCTTCTTTGTCTTGTCTTATTTTGTACTTTTTAATATGTGAACTCTATGCCAGAGCCGCGCACTAAAGACGAGGATTCGAACCTACGTCCGAGAGCATCCCAAACGAAGAAACAAACAGTGCGTTCCATGTAACGAAGTTCTTCTTCCACAGACGAGACCTGAGAACTGTTTACTCCTGTGTTTGGTTGTGATATTTGGTAAGCACGACAATGCTTGCTCACACAAGTACGACGTTGAGAGCTGTAGTGAATGTATGTAGCCAGACATAGCCCGAAACTCAGTTTTCACTTATACCCAAAACACATCTAATGACAGTTAATTGAATTTAATTTTTAATGTGTAATCACTTCATTTCAGTCACTTGTTCTTCTTCCTGCAGGCTGAGTAAATTTTCTGAGTGGCTTAGATACTCGGTGAAAGGGTTCCTGAGCCAATCGTTCTCTTCCGATGACAAAGAAAGTATTTATAAAGACCTTGACTACATGATCTAGATAACTTTGGAGCCTCCGAGAATCATCTCATTGTCATCTTCAGTAAAAGATCTCTACCAAGTTCAAGCTTTTTCTTCGATCCAAGTTCTCTTCCCGTTCCAAGGATCCATCCCCATTCTAAGCTCTATATCCGTACCAAGCTCTCTCTTTTGTCCAAGTTCTCTTCCCAATCTAAGCTCTCTTTCTTGTCAAAGTACACTCTTGCTGATGCAAGTTCTCCCCAGTCCACGTGCTTTCTGGAACACTGATATGTTTCCACCGCGCTACATCCACTTTTTCGATGGAATGTGTTCATCTGGGAGATATTGAAAGTTTTTATGGCGTGTTTCATTGGTGCAGCTCTGCTCTCTGTATCTCCCCTCTCGCCTTGTTTAAAACCTTTGACACACTGTTTCTCCCTTGACCGCCAGTCTCGGCTTCTCTGCACCTCATCCATGTCCACATCCTGGTACCAAGAGCCTATACACACATATATATACACCGTATGTATGTGTATATATGTGTGTATAGCGCTTTAGTGTGGCGATACAGAGAGGAAACGCATACAGCATCTATGGTTCCTGCTCGCCAAATGAGGAGCTGGAGGAACTCGATAACCTGTGACAAGTAGCCTTGTACCTTGAATGTAACCAGTGTTGTAACCCTTTTTGTGTAATAAAGATTTCAAACAAAATAAAATGACAAAATATGCAATATATAGGGGTGGTAGGAGAAGACAATATGTGAGTGTTTGCGGGTGCCTCACAAGGCTTCTTCGGATGCTACATATTCTCTTCTTCGAGGCCTAGGGTCCTTACAAACGCAACGAGGTACCCGCCCCTATATATATATATATATAATTAAAAGCATACATTACATTATATATATATATATATATATATATAATATATTATATATATATATATATATAATATATATATATATATATATATATATATATATATATATATATATATATGTGTGTGTGTGTGTGTGTATGTGTATGTGTGTGTGTGTGTGTGTGCGCGAGTGTGACGTGTACTCTTCTTTCCTCTCTTGACGTGCGTGTGACGTCTTCACTCCTCTCGTGTCTTGGGCTGACGTCAACACCGCTGTCTGGACGCACGTGTGACGTCTGAGTTACTCTACATTTGCCTACCGATTGGCAACACATCATCCTGTTTCCATAATTTGACAATCATCTAACTTGAGTGCCTTAAAATTCCTCCAAATACGTCCATTTTGACACTGTCTTCGATAGCCTCCATACTGAAGTGGATTAAGTGTACTGGTGGACTTAGCATACACTTTTCCCTACCATAGCGCAGCATGGAGGATGAAAAGTGTAAAACATTCCTTCCTAAATACATGAAGCTTGGCTGAAACCACAAGAGAACTATTTATTAACCCCTTGGAGTCATGTATTTGTTCAAGAACTTTGGAAATTGATGAACACAGTGACCATCAAATGGGACATGAGGTTAATAAACGAGAGAAATTGAAAGTATATATTGGCACTCACACACACGGGAGAGTGCCAGAAAGGCACCAAAGGAAGACACGTGACAGGCTGGCTGGAGAGGGCGGCAGATTGAGGAAATGGCGTTTATTGGAAGGCCGTTAGGTGGGTGGAGGTGAGGCGGCTGGCCAGGGTGGGGTGGGGATGTGGGGGAGGGGGTGGTGGTGCGGACCTGGGGTGGGGGTGTGGGGAGAGGGGGGGGGGGAGGGCCTTGGTGGGGGGTGTGGGGGAGGGGTGGTGGGGACCTGGGTGGGGGTGTGGGGGAGGGGGTGGTGGTGAGAACCTGGGGAGGGGGGGGGGACCTGGGAGGGGGGGTGTGGGGGAGGGGGTGGTGGTGAGGACCTTGGGAGGGGTTGGACCTGGGAGGGGGGTGTGGGGGAGGTGGAAGGTGAGGACCCCTGGCCACTCAGAGCAGCCAATCAGTCAGAGGGACTAACTCACGCGTTCATTTTCTCAGTTGTGTAGCTGTTGGGTCAGTAGTTTATTTTCTCTCTCCCTCGCTTGTTCACTTTATGAACTCCCTGACGAAGTCCTTGAATATCACTCTCACTCGCTTACTCGCTTTCTCGAACTTTCACTCCACCTGTTCACTTGCGTTCTCCTACAATCGCTTGCTCACTTACTAGGGTGATTCGTCACACTCACACTAACACACTAATTTGATCATTATATCACTCTACTACTAACTTACTACACTGGATACAGAAAAAGTAATAAATCATATTTTTCCTGTAATCGAGACTAATTTTGCTAATTGCCAGTTCATTTTTACTACACTAGTTTCCTACTCAAGATACATGTGACTACAGTAACTATAGCAAAGAGATGAAAGCTTGGCGATGAATTACCTCTGTTCACTAGGCTAAGCCACAAACACACCAATGTTACCACTGTGGAGCAACAAAGTTAATTTTACGCAATTTCCCGCTAGTTAAATGTGGCTGGTCACATCCGTAGACTTGCATACTTATATGTACGGACCTGGGGTAGCACTTCATATAGTCTAGGGTAGCTGCATAAATGCGGATTTACCTAAATACATAAATACAAGAAAGTGACAAGTGTCAGCAAGCGAGGAATCCCTCAGTGCTGAGTACTGCGTATGTAACCTCTGTGAGGAAGAACTGGGTCATGATGTCACTACGTTATTGACTATGTAGTCATTATACCTCTTCACACCTTTGCTTTCTCCACTCTGGTGTTCATGAGGAAAAAATTTTAAAACCTCTTTTTTCAGGTAGCAAGCGTGCTCTCCGCCTGTAACCAGAGCGGTCCCTCGCAGTCCAAGGTCCCTCGAGCTACTACACAATCTCTTACAGGAGTAATGATGTGTTTAACATCGTGTCGGGCCACACACCAAATTGTTCCAGGGGTTTGGTTACCACCTGTGCTAACTTGTGTGGCAGTTCAATTGGCCTGATATCTGGAAAAACATTGAATTTTCGATACTGGTTCCGGATAAAGAGGGGAGACTGGGATATGGTAAAAGCTTAAACCACCGTCCCCTCACCCTACCACGCTAGAAGTGTTTAACCCAAAATTGTCATGGAGAGGGGAAACCGCTCTTGTTCCTTTCTTTCCCCTAAGTTGTGTTTACTTAGTGCGGGTTGCATTTATTAGAGGGAACCGTCTCCGGTGACCTCCCACGGACAAGCTGTGTCTAAATAAACTTTTACAGGGGTCATATACATCTGTTTTCTCTCTCCCTGCAAGTGTGGGGCACGACTCTGCATGCAGGGTAGGAGCACGAGTGACCTTCCCTCGCACCACGACTCCTCCAGCTGTGACCCTGGTCGACTGGCTAGTGCTGCCTGGACTCCTTG